AGTTGGTGTTCTGGACCTGCGGATGTGAGCCGGGATTAATGGTTCGTGGGGGTTTGTCGATCGATGAATGGCAAGATTTCACTTTACGGCCCGTTTAGATGCCTCGCTTGGAGATGCTGCACTGTATTCATGATATGATGACTAGTATACCTAGCAAAAGACTCGCCTACAAGATACCATCGCTAAGCTAGGAATGCATGTTCTATAACCTGTGATGCCCTTAACCCCCCCCCCCCCCCCCCCCCCCCCCAACGCCTGGCTAACAGTATATTCAATGACCCTGGTATCAAATCAGAAGATTCTCTTAGTACTGGGTCCAACCCATTGTACTTCTGAACAATTCCTGTTCGACCTCCACTGCTCAATTCGCTCAGTCAGCCATCCTGACTTGAAATCCACCCATCGATCTTGGCGATCTGGCGGTGGTGGTATAACATTGCCTTTGTCGTCTTTCACTTCGGGCTCGATGATCTTCTCGGGTTGTCGTGGCTCGCCAACTCGAAAAGACTTGGAAGTAACACACTTTTTCTCGTCGCGACCTCGCCAATTGTACTGTAGACAATCGCTGCTGTCCTTGCAGTACTTGTCGCATGCTTCAAATGAGTCGATTCTTGCTTCGGGCGGTGCAACTGTGAAGTCCCATTTCCCATTGTCCCAATTCTCTGCAACTTCACGATCGCCGGGATGGTGAAACTTCCACACGTCAGAGTAAAGCAACGGGCGCTATGACGGTTAGAAGGCTAAACAAAGTTTCCCGGTGTTCAACTTACCCCGAGCTGTCGTTGCGCAAACTCCCATCGCCAAACGTCAACCATGTCTTTCGGCGACGTCTTGTGTAGCGTCATGACAGGCTGGCACCAATACTTGTCGCTGAAAGGAATACTGTGCAGAGGATGCGGGTTGAACAGTGGCCAGTATCCCCTCAGCGGAACACTAACGTTCCACAACGCCCATCCCGTAACGCTGTCACCGCAGCAATCGTCCCGAAGCATGGGAAGCCACTTTTCCGTAGCTGGCGGTTCGACGTACTGCCCGTAGGGCGTTGTCTTACGGACGAGGAGGGCCCTCATCGCACCACGGCTGAGAACAAAGCCTGGCCCGCCGTTTGCGAACCATGTCTTTATGTCTTGTTTAACGTCGTGCATACCCGGCGAGGGTGAGCCCATGTATAACGGCGCATCGGGGTCGAAGGTTTGGAGGAAGCGGAAAGCGTTGTCCCAGAAGACGTAACTGTAACCGTTAGTGGCTTGTCAAGCTGCGCGGGTGTGGAAACTTGCGTATCTGTCTCGAAGAAGAAGTAAAAGTCTTTGTTTGGCTTCATCTTCCATGCGCGCTCGATCATTGGGAGGAATTTGAACTTGTCCATTCTCCAACCTTGGATGCGCGCTGTCGCTTCCATGTCCACGTCGAGGGTGCCATTTGCCCGCATTTCCTTCTGCCACATGTAGTTCACGAAATCGGGGTTATCGTGGTAGTAAATGGCGGGTAGATCGGCGAGGACATCGATTGCTTGATGGTCGTGTACCGACTCGTCGAGATCCGAGAAGACCAGCAGCTCGCCCTTTCCAAAGCAAGCGCTCACACTATCGAATTGAGCATCGAGTCTCTCTTTCGTATCGGCGTGGCCCATCTTCAAGACAGGTTGTATCGTCTGTAGCAAATGCTTGGGGAACGTCGCGCAAAGGTCTTGGGTTGTCTTACCCTCGGGATTGACGGACACGGGGCGAAAAGAGCTCGTCGTCGAAAAGGAATAGTACTGAGATACGCCATAGCTACCGTGGATAGCACCCCAAAAGACAAGTATGAGAAAGATGACGGTGCAGAGACCAGCAATGGCCATGCGACTGAAGCGTTTGTTCAGCATCAGTCGCCGGCTGGAGGAGGACCAGCTTGAAGGCATTGCAGCTGGAGCTCGAACATGGCACTAGGGCCTTGTTTTGCTAAGAAATGACGATGTGAGGATTATTTTGGGTTGTCGCGGGAAGAGACATGATGGAACGGATGGAAGTGGAAAGCCGGGATAGTCTTAGGGTGACGTTTTCAAGGGGCTAGGTCCACTAAAAGCAAGCCCCTGTCGCGGAAGCAGGACGCTCTAGAATGAGTCTGGAATCAAGTCTTGGGAGCGCCAGACTTTTGAGTTGACAGTAGGAAATACGAGAGACAATTGACAGTTCGTAAGCTTATGGTTAAGGTTATAATAGCCTAGTTATAGGTGCAAGACATGATTCAACTGGTCAACACAAGCCAAACCGACACAGGGCGAGGGACATCTCTTTGTCCTGTGATGAATTTGAGCAGTACAATTCGCTTTATGGCAATAATTTTAGAAGCCATCGTAAGATTCTAATTACATGTTTTGAGGCCTTTTATGTCAGGCAAATCTATAGTTGGAGGAGACTGCTCGTTTCCTGACCATGCTCACTCAACATCTTGAGACACACGATGTGCATTCCTCGCCCTCACGCCATCTCCATTCCCACTCACAGTCCTAAACACTGAACTCGAAGAAACATTCTCATTCATCATGACCCCGTCCCCTGCGCTCTCTTCACCTTCGGCCCTCTTACTCTCACTCCCAAACCTCTTTCTAACCCAGGGCAAAAGGTTGTAATACCCACCGCAAGCAAACACACCACACCACAGAACAAACTCTGTCGCGTAGATGACAATACCGAGAACATCAAGTTCAGGCTGGAAGAACACGGACACAAGTGAGAACACATCGCCTGCTGCATCAATGGCGACGAAGAGAAATGATATACCACGGACTGTTCGGTGTTTCCAGATGTCCCAGTAGTGGGTGAGTACACCTGCTGCGAGTAAGGCTGCGGATAGAGATGCCATGAGGATAAGAGGCCATTCTAAAGAGCCGGCTTTGGCGATGCGAAGGGCGATGATGAGACCGGCCTGGATACCGCCCATCACGGCGGCAATTGGGACGACAACGAGGAGAGAGCGGTACACACTCCATTTCTGACTTTGTTAGCTACCTGATCTGCGAATTGAAATGGCTTCCATACTCTTTCGTAGTAGTAACATTGGATCCAGGTCACAAGACTCAAAAGCGTCAAGATCTGAGGCTGTATTCGTAAGGCGATGTTGAACTCTTTGACGATGTTGTACACGCCTAGCGGAACACCTGCCCATGCCCAGAGCATCATCATCGATGGTTGAAGACCCGTTGCATTGTGCCTTCGATAATTGACGATGATTTGAGGAATCAGCTACAGAGTATCAGTGCTGGTCTTCGGCGTGGGTGAGAGGACGAACCTGGATTGACCAGCAGACCTGGCAACGTTAGCACACAACTTTCAGCAGGACAGGCAAAGTACTTACAGCCCCGAGGGTACCTAAGATATTGGCTGCGACAGGTACATCCATTTCCGTATCGAAGGGAATCCGGTGGTTGTGTCGGGAAGATGAGTGAGGATGGACGGTTTGGATGAGCATGCCAAAATTGACGCGCCAAGAATGTTAGTGTATACTAGCAAATTTGGTAGGGATGCTTAACAGCTACCTTCATCACAAACAGGCAAAGTCATAGTTGCAGAATTAAAGCACAAAACTTGCAAGAACTGAAAAGACGGTGGGGATAAATTCATTGCATGTCATTCAGCTGCTCCAAGAAATGAGAAATACAAAATCTCCCCCATCGCACAGCCAAATCACGAGTCCAGCGTTTATGGAATATCCATGACTCGAAGGCTCTTATGGCTCAAAGTAATGCAGACTGGAGCCGGCGCCGTCAATCCCTGAGGCATGAAAGGACCTTGATCTTTGAAAGGTATGGCTATTCATGTTGTCGGTGCTAATTCTTGCTCATCCACTACTTCTCATAAACATTACACACAAAAGGTCTTCAAAATCAGACGATATGAGAAAGTGGCTAAACGATAGCATAACTCAACGGAGGCCTTAATCATCAATACCCATTCGATATAAACGGTAGTGAAATGCCAGGACATCAGCACAAGAGTGAGCGTTCTGAGACATGGGAGAGGCGTGGAGTGAAACCTGTAAGTTCTTCTCAGAAGCGACTCCGAGGCAAGTAATGTGAAGTCCCCCCATTCTCAAGCAATTGGGTAGCATTCTTTAGCATACAATTTTACGTATGTATCCTTTGAAGGTATCACCTTTATATAGAACAGAACTTTGGGTAATACTAAAAGATCGTGACTGGAGAGTAACTAGAAGCAGCATGTAGAAAGCAGACCTGATATACAGAGCGGCGATAATGAGGTCGGAACACGCATAAGAGCTCTCACCCTCAATCTGTAACTCATACCCTCAAGAAGCAAGAAGATCACTGACATTAGACAAAGGTGCCAAGACTAAGTGGTCTCGAGATCTACTATGTTTACCTAAATCTTTCCATTGCTGTGATTAGAGATCCCAAGTTTAGGTTTCCCACCTTTCTTAGATAATGCGGTAAGAGTAAGGATCAGTGCTCTCGGCAGTGAGTATTTGTCATACATATAGTCCCTAGTCCATGGACAAGAAGTCCGATCAATTCCCCTTGTTGTCGGGTAAGACCTTCTTTATCTTCTTTAAGTCTATTCCGAGTCCTGGTTCTTCTAGATCACTCTGTTCTATCTTCTGCTTAATGTTGTATCTTTTACCTGTCTAGTGTGTATAATTCCAAGAATCTTCCCACTCTCCCATCATTTATCGAACCTGTCTCCAAGAACAAACGAAACTCTCCCACCAAGACCATTTTAACTGCCATTCGTATTGCCAAGTCTTCGGCAGCTGAAGTGGAACGCACTCCGTTCTGAAGACTATAATTCGTAAGTACTTGAGGCTGCAAGAGACTTCCGCTTATCTCAATGGCGTTTACGAGTGAGTTGCCGTTGCGGTGGGCGCAGTCATGACGTTGAGACTCCTCGTATTCTGAAGCACCAACATGTGATATCAAGTAGCCTGTAAACATATAAGCAAACAACTCCAAAACATCAAGAAACACTTGTTTTGTTTGATAATTGGTTATTCAACAAGCCAAGATGCATTCCAGCCCAGACTCAGACTCAGAGCTCCCCTACATCGAGCCCCCTTCCAACGAAGCTCTCAAACCCATCCGCAAACCCCCTCCCTATACAGGAACACCCCTCGTTCTCTTCCTCTCCGACATTACACTCTTTTTCCAGAACTTCTTCTATCTCCCTTACCTCTTTATCCCCCTGTATCCCTGGAAGTCCGGTCCATTCTGTGAGCTTTACCCATCTCGGGAGAACCTCATTGACATTACAATCCACTATATTCTCTCAGTAACCCAGCTAGTTTTCGTAGTTTCTCTATTTGCACTGGCGTTTCTCCCGAATTTTGTGTATATTGGTTATATTGCGGTATTCTTTGCCATAAATGAACTTGTTTGCTGGCATTTTAATAGGGGAATTCCCCGTAGTGGGTTGAAGTCGAGTGAGGATGGGTTTACGAGGGCCTGGCCTCGTCATGACGATGAGGCTTGGATATTCCTCAACGGTATTTGTGTTGGGTGAGTTGACTTCCCTCATTTCCTTGACTTTACTGAATGTGACCAGTAAGAATTGGTTCCAGAAAAACATCGACCGGATCTCGCGCACATTTCATCGGCCGGTAGTTGGTATTCACAACCGAACGTAAGCCCCCAAACAACTCTTCACAAAGTCTTCTCACCCATTTTCGTAGTGCCGGCGTTGTCTTTGACCTCATCCAATGCCTTATCCAACGCGCCCTCCTCTACGCAACCCAGGACGTACGCGAATGCTACATCCTCGTTAAAAACGCTCTTCTCGACGACCACAAGAAGAAAGTAATATTCATACTCCACTCCCAAGGTGGAATAGAAGGCGGCATGATAATCGACTGGCTTCTCGACGAAATGCCCCTCGACAAACTTCAGAAGCTCGAAGTCTACACTTTCGGCAACCTCGCCAACCACTTTAGCAACCCCTACCGCGGCAACGACACAAAGTCTCCCGTTATTCCTCACATTGAACATTATGTGAATGAGAAGGATTTTGCTTGTCGTTTTGGGGTTCTCAACTTTACGAGGCATTATACGCAGAATGAGAATAAGTTTGCGGGCAAGGTTTTTATTAACAGAGGAGGGGGACATCAGCTGAATCAGCATTATCTTGATGATATGTTTCCTTTGGATGAGACACTTCAGAGGGCGAGAGATGCTACAGCGGGAGACTTTATGCATAGAAGAGTTCGGGTGAGAAAGGATGGCACTGTGAAAATGACCACCAAGGCGGAACTGCCCCCGGGTTTTATCGTCACCGAAGATGAGGGGTCCAAGAATGGGATTATGAAGCCAGATGAAGTTCCCAGGATGGGAGATCTGAGTAGACTGTGGAAATATCGGAATGGTCAGTTGCCAGACTCATTCAAGAGTGTCTTGGCCGATGGTCTGTAGAGTATACGAGGGTAGGATATGGTGGTATTGAAATAAGAAGAGACCGTAGAATAACATCCTGTCCAAAACGAACCTCGGCATGAGAGTACAACGCAGCAATGTCACAGTGATCTGAAACTTCGTCATTGTAAATGTCTTTACTATTCGTTTCTTCACAGATGGGCACACTTCACGCCGCCCTTTTCCGATGTACATGATCATATCATGATAAATATCCCGCTCCCGCTCTCAGTTCCGACCTTCTCCCTTAGAAGGTCGTCTGCATCTTGGGATAATCCTTAGCCTGGACATGCAAGTCGGCATAGATAGCTGCAGACTGGTCATCAGCAAGATGCTTCATACGCTTCACATCATCATCCTCAAGATGTTCAAGCACTGTCTCCGGCTCCTCCTTTCCGTCCTTCTGGTCCTTCTTCTGGGGCTCAACAGCCTTCTCAATACCATCTGATTCGCCGATGAGAAGGATCTGGGCGTTGGGGTAGTCGAAGTGGGATGGCTTAGATGGAAGCCAGCGCAGAGAACGAAACTCATCAATGATTCTACTCATGTTAGTAATTGATTCACAATAATAGAAGAAGAAACTTACTCTTTTGGAAAGTCGGGTCCCTCAGGCAATTGAGTGTTTTGAGGTCCTGGATACTGAGGGTTCTTGGTGCTGATGATGAAGCTTCCCTTCTCCTTTAGTCCCAACTCCTTCTGGACCTCCTCAAGCTTCTCAGGCAGTGTCGTCAAATAAGCCAAATGACTCTCGCGACCAGTCGACGTGATAGCATACACGCCTTCTCCAACAGGCTTAGCAGGTGGTGTACGGCGTGTACCAGCAGTCTTGGTTTCATACTCGTCTGCGGACAAGAACTCCTTCTTGATCTCATCATATGAGGCGCCAGACTTTTCGACGAATACCATGTATCGCTCTTTTCCACTCTCGGGGAGGGTCTTCTTGGGAAGAGCAAGGATGCGAGTGTTTCCGGAGTCAGCAATGGGACCGTCGCCGAGACGAGCGTCTTTTGCAATGGGTCGGAGCATGATGAAGGAACGGGCGATGTCATCAACGCTCTCGGGGTCTTCGAGATTCACGCGACCGCGGATGAAGAAGTAGATGATGCCCTTTTCGAGGATGCTTGAAGGGACGTCAGGTTCCTCTGAAGGCTTGACAGCATCTTTGCCGTTCGTCTCCTGCTTTCCATTGGTCTCAGAGTCTTCGCCGTTGACCTCTTTCTTGTCATCTGACTGGGAGTCTTTGCCATTGATTTCCTCCTTCTTGTCGGACTTGGCCTTAGAGTTGTCTTCCTTTTCCGTAGCGCTATCATTGTCCTTAGAATCATCCGAAATGACCACCACATCATCAAGAGTCGTCTGACCAGCCTCTTTCTTGGTACGCTTCGCATCAGGAGAGTCATGCTGAATCTGGTGCTTTTCACCAGTTGCAGCCTGTTCCTCGCCATTGCTGGTCTTTTCGACGTCGTTGTGCTTTGAATCAGACATTCTGGATAGTCAATGGTATTATAGACAACAAAATTGAAGAATTGAGAGATTGTCGATGTCTAGAATAAAAACGCTGAGAAATCGGAAGATTGGCTGAAAGTGGTGGACGCGTCGCGTTGAGTGTCGTACAGGTGATGTCATAGACATGTTGTCTCACCAACTTTCGTGTTTGCTTCGTGTTTTAGTTGAGCCACACAAATCATAGCGTCATATTGATTCACATTCCGCTGTGGCTTGGTCCTTTTGCAAGTGGGCTCACTCTTCATGAGATGCTATCATTGGCAGTCTTTACCATGCCGAGACCACCGATATCGCGCTCGAGCAGCCTCAATGCTTCTCTAGCGAAGGGAGCCGCTGCACCACGGACTCTCAATGCCCATCTGAGCTCATCGACTCGAGATGCACACCACGCCATCTCATCGAATGAGTCTGCAGTTGCCCAGAGTAGACCGGCCAGAGATCCTATCTCGGCCGCTTGATATGCTGCAGCACTGCCCCAGAATGCAGCAGTGTGCTCGGGACGTAGAGATCCAAGCAGTTCAATGGCTGACTGTAGCTTGGCTCGAGCTGTAGATCGTAACACTTCATAAAGAGATGCGGGTGTGTCTGGTGTTGTGATTCGGACCAAAGCACGATGGAGTGCGATTTCGACAGCTGCGTGGGCGAGATGAAGAGCTCCATTAGCACATAATTCTCTGAGCTGAGTGTTTTGTAATTGCAGTCGAGCTGGTAGATTCGCGTGCCACTCTCGAAGACGAAAAACGAGAGGCTTCGCCAGTTCAACAGCAGCGACGACGCCCATCTGATCCAATGTCCCTCCAACGCGAGTGGCTGCAGCACTGTAGAATGTTCGAATCACATCACTCAGAATCTGCGTCAGCTCAATGTGACGAATGAACAAGTCCCATCCGACAATGATAGGCGAAGTATGATCTGGGTTCGCTTCAGGATCCATCTGGCCAAGCTCGGGATAATCTGGTGCAGTGCAAGGCCGGACATCCCAGTCGTTGTCTTGGATGAGAAAGGGTCGTCCGTGAACACATGCTCCCCAGCGATCTTGCATGTACAAAGCCCAAGCAAGTCTTCGCCGCAGACCGACTTCCCATGCGGGTATTGACCAAGAACTACAGTCGATGTGAATGCCCAGATCTTGAGCCATGGCAACAATCTGAGCTGTGAACATGCGGTTCGACATTGGGTGCGTATGAGATCCAGACTCGACTATCTTTCGGTTTCGTTGCAGGAGAAGTAACCCAGCCTCCAGCGTACTAAGCTTGGGCCGTCGCATATCCTGGTTGATGGTTCGTTCAGCTAGTTCTTCGAGAGCTGCTGGATCCGGGATAGATTCAACTTCACGTCCTGCAAGTTGACTGTCGTAGAGTTGCCAATCGAGAGCTACCAGATACACTGCAGCGAGTAGAGACGGCGCAAAATGTCGGTGAGATAAACGATGCTTGCTGATAAAGACATCTTTATGCAAGATCGGAAAGCTGGGGTGGACAATTCGAAAGTAGAGATCGACCAACGTGCGGCCAAGGGGGTGAACTGTCGCTTCGATGGCATCCAGATCTGCAATACGCATCTTCTCCGAAGCAGTGGATTCATCAGGATGAACAAGGAAGACAGTCTGATAGTCCAATCGTCTAGCAAATGTAGAGGTCGTAGACAGCGGTGGAGCCTCCTGGTTCAACAGATTTGGGCGATGGAGGTCGAGAAGAACAGGATCACGATAGTCGGTTGGTCCGATATACTCAGCATGAGTCTTCAAGTCTAGGCCGAGGGTATTGCTGAGAATACTAGGGCGGGACGGTTCAGGCATATTATCCTCAAAGGGCATCACTTGCTGTATCTGCGTGAACTGCTGGTTACTTTCCACACTCGCGGGAGTTGACGCAGCATCACCATGTCGACTCGACGGAGACGCCCCCGTCTCAAAGCCCGCAACAGGCGATGTCGTAGAGTTTCCCTGATTCTCATCCCCATCTCGACCGTCATTCTGCTTCTCACGTTCCTTTTCCCGATTTTGTCTTCTCTGGCGAGGTGTAGGCCCACGCAGGAACGTACAAGGCTGGTTGTGAAAAGTACATAAAACACATCTCGTCTGACCCTCCTCCTTTACACACCGCGTCTTACGAACACGGCACGTGTCACATGGCCGCGCACGGGTGTTAGCATTACCGACAGACGCCCCGGAGGTAGCCATCAAAGAACGGCCAGATCCGGAGCCGGACCGGGAGAGATCAGACGGGCCGGCGCCGTGAAGCGGGTGCGAGAACATGACCCCACTGGACGCGGGCGTTCTATGTCTGAGTCTGGCTTGTGATAAGAGACAAGGGGCCCATCTTCTGGCTGTGGGCCGACCAGTTGACGAAGCGGGAGTCGAGGTCGTGTCGTGGGCGTACGGCGTGATAGTGAGCAGCCATCCATTGTTGATGATCCGCCATCGGGGGCCGCGCCTTATCAGTTCGTCCTGCTACGGTAAGGTCGTAATACGATAAGGAATCATCGGAGATGGGAATGCCCCACGGGGTCGGAAATACGGGGAAACGGATATACCGATGGATGTTCGTTCATTGTGAGACTTGAGTTGATCTGGTTCAAGAGAGGAATTGGCCATGTCTGAATAACTTCAACTCGAGTATATCTTCTACGATACTCACAGAAAGTCGAAAACATGTCGATCCGTCGCAATATGACAGAAGTCCCTCCACTTTAAACCAGCAAGCCGAGGATCCAATAGCATAAGCCATGTCTCAATCACGAGCTTGCCTCTGCATTGTCCTTGCTCCCATTGCCTCAGACATGCATCAACTCTCGAAACGATATATCCTTTTCGCGTAAATTGACTGGTAATATACGATCTCGCCGCCGGCCAAAACAGATAGTCCATCGTGGACCAGGTTGACAACCACTTTAGCCGCCGGCGAGTGCCATGATTGGCCGAACTATTTCTGGGTCTTCTTATCGTGGACTATGAACTGACGATCTATGAAACAAACAAAATTAGTAAAGAATTCAACTTCAATTGACTTGGAAAAATACGTTGAGCAAATGAATTGAAGACCATTGACTTGCCTGTTATTCCCGCACCTGAAGACGGGGTAAACGTCCGGAAACAACACGGACTAAGAGCGGACTTGTAAACGGCTTAGACTCGGCGATAGCGTAATTTTCCACATAATCTCAACCCCCAGACTCAACCTTGACTCCTTCTCACACTCATCCACGTGCAAGTCCAGCACTCAATTCGTATAATACCGTACAGCCAGGCTTCAGTGTTTGGCCGCCGGGCCTTCGGCAAGTTCGCCCTCTTGAAAGCAGAGGTGTTGTTGTGTTATCAGTGAACATGAAATCGTTTGGCTTCGTGATCCTCGAGGCTATGCAAGTTTACGAATCTCGGAAATTCGAACCCGTTGAGACGATTCCGCAGTGTTACCTTCAGGCTCATCCGACTTGATCTGTTGGAGAAATTAGTATAAATATTGTTGTTTGGCTGTGCAAGAAACTGCTTCGAT